GTGAAACTGTAGTGCCATGATTTTAAAAGGCGCGGTCAGATAAATAGTAGAGGTGCGTGGTGGGGGAGAAAGGGAGGGAGGGGGGGGGGGGTAGTATGTTGATCTCAGTTGGGAGGGAGGAGTGAGTAGGTGTAAAGGGGGGAAAGAGTTGGGCAGCGGCTTGGGTGGTTACGTTGTAAATTTTAGTTCTCTGAAATGGGGCTCATCGATATTGAGGCCAGAGAGGGTTTGATGTGAGCCCAGGTTCCACATCCACTTAGATTCTCTAAGGTTGAGATTTTCTTTTGTAGGTTTTTTAACAATCTCTATACCCTGAAGCTGCATGTCAGTGGTTCCGTTGTGACCAGGGCTATTGAAATGTTGGCCGACTGGGGTGCCTGAGTGGTTTTGTACTGAGTACCTGTGATTGTTAAATCTGGCCCTAAGAGTGGTGGTGGTTTGTCCTACATATTGGGCAGAGCATAGTTTGCATGTTATTAAGTAGATTACATTTTTAGTTTCGCAGTTGATGTTATCTGTAAGAACTTTTTTGAAGAGAGGTCCCTCTACATGGTTGGTTTCTGTCATGTAAGGGCATGTTTTGCATCTAGGTTTCTTGCAGGGGTGGTTCTGGGGGGTTTGTGGGAGGTTGTTTTGAGGTGAAGGAAGATGTATCGTATCTTTCGTACGGATGAGAAGGTTGCCAAGGTTGGGGGGGTTGTCGGAGAGCGATTAAAGGGGGCTGAGGGAAGCACTTCATCATCTTGTCAGATTTTTCTAAAATGTCTTTGTGCTGGTTGTGGATGTTGTGGACAGTGGGCAGCTTTTGGTGGTGAGTGGTGACAAAGAATGGCCTTTTCTGATGAGGTTTGTGGAGTTTGTAGCTAAGTAGATCCTTGTGCCTGAGTTTGCACACTTTGTTTATGATGGGGGTTATAAAACTGTTTTGGTATCCACTGCGCAGAAGGTTTTCCCTGAAATCTGTAATTCTAGCTTTAAACCATTCATCCCTGGAACAGATGCGTCGGAGTCGGAGCGCACCACTGTAAACAACCGAACGGAAAATATGTTTGGGGTGGTTGGAAGAAGGGGGGAGGTAGCGCTTAGAGTCGGTTGGTTTGAGGTGGAGGTCTGTCTCAATGTTGTTATTGAGAAGGTGGATGGAGAGGTCGAGGAAAGCTGTAGACTTTCCGGGGTTGGAGTGTGTGAATTTGATGGTGTCATGGACGCTGTTGATGTCCGAAAGAAATTGATGCGTCTGTTGAGAATTACCATCATGTAGGGCGATAATGTCGTCCATGTATCTCATGACCAAAAAGGGTTGGTTGGGTAGGCGGGCGATGTTTTTACGCCAAAATTCTGCCATAAAAATGTTGGCATAGGAAGGAGCTACAGGTGTTCTCATGGCTGTTCCTGTGAGTTGAAGAAAATGTTGGTCGTTGAAGGAGAAGTTGTTTAGTGTAAGGACTAGTTCCAGGAGTTGACAAATTTCTCTTATTTGACATGGGGTGTATGTGGTGAGGCTAGCGAGAGCAAAGCGGCAGGCTTCGACTCCCTCTTTGTGTGGGATGTTATTGTACATGTCTACAGCGTCTATGGCCAAAATGTTGGTGTTGTCTGTAATTTGCCTTTTTTCATTCAGTGTTTTAATTTTTTGAAGGACATGTAAGTTGTCCTTGACCCAATGGTTGCCGCAGAAGCCGGGGACGTGGGGTTTAAAAATGCAGTCTAGCCAGTAGGGGGCTCTAGTGGTAGGGCCTCTGATTTGTGAAATGATACCCCTAAAAGGAGGAAGTATTGAGCCTTGTTTGTTTGGTTTGTGGATCTTAGGGAGGCCATAAAAGTGGGGGCAGGATACCTCACCGTGGAGAATACTCTTGTGGATTTCGGGGGATATCACTTTAAGTTGTTCCAGTGTACGGATTTGTTTGTGAATAGCCTTAAGGTGAGAGGAAGTTGGGTCTAAAGTGAGTGGTTTGTATAGGGTGGGATTGTTAAGCATGATGTTTAATGCGTGTTTGTAGTCACTGGTATTCATGACCACAAGGGAACCACCTTTGCCAGCCTCACGGATAGTGAGATCATTATCGTGCATAAGTTCATGGAGAGCTTTTCTTTCATCATCATCATCATCATCATCATCATCATCATCATCATCATCATCATCATCATCATCATCATCATCATCATCA